CCAAGTGCTAATTCCTTACAAATGTCACTCTGCTTTACTCCACTTTTTATTTTGTTAATAATCTCGTACTTTTCATTTAGTGAAAAAGCTTTGCGGTTTTGTTTTTCCATTCTAAAACGATTTACAAACATAACGCGGCAAAAAACAACAACTCACTGCCTGTCTCTCGCTCTCACTAATATAAAAAACTCCGCACGATTGGTGTTGCTGAGCGTGGAAGTTCGTTATAAACGGAAAGTGAATATACAGCTAACCTAAAAAGTGATCGTTATATCCGGAAGTTCGTTATAAACGGGTTTATTATAACCAGTAAAAAAATAAACGTTGGTCTTTATGGACGACGTTTCAATTAAAGGAAAAAAGTTCGTTTTAACCGAAAGTTCACTATAAACCGGGTGCATTATAAGCGGACTTTACTGTATATCCTTTGAAGCCTTTCCTCATTTTGGCAATAAAGAATGGGTGTGCGATTTTGGGTCTTTTATTTTGTCTTTGGTCTGGTCTTTTTATCTTATCTCAATGACCTTAATGTAGAACTGCAAAGCAAAGGACAGTTTATTCACAATTTATATGATAAATTCAGGGAATTGAGCGCAAATTAAAATTGTGAAAACAGGTTCTTTTGCAGAATAGTGTATCTCACTTTCCACATTTAGAAAAAGAAAATGGTTACTACTTCTCAAAAACACGCACAATATACAGACATTTTAGCTGGGAAGACAGCGATTTCCATGAAAATTTCTTCCTCGCTATTTAATATCGATGTGGATACAATTCCTGAAGACTTTCAAATGGAAGTAATTGACATAATAATAAACATAAAAAATTGTGTAAATCTTATGTGGGCCTTGAGAAATTACCACTTTTTACAAAAAATGCAAATCAAATGATGTCTTGTCCAGAAGTACGTATGTTTGCGAACAATTATTTTCAACCCTTAAATTAATCAAAAAAGGCCACCGATCAAGACTGAGAGATTGATTTAAATTGGCCTGTTGGCTAAAAAGGTTGCTCATCCCTGGACTAGTGAATTCGGTGATTATAACTACAAGAATCAAAAAATGGAGAAAAAATCCTACCTGCTGAAGCGCGGTGGAGTAGAGAAATTAGGGAGGTGGCCAAAAAGGCCGATATCCAATTTGTCTGCAACATTTTAACGCTGCCACATCCCTGCAACAATAAATATCAATAATTAATAATATTTCCACATGCTGTGTCGAAGCGCCGATAATTCAAAGCGAATTAATACAACACACTATACTGATAATTAACAAATATAAATCAAATAATTGGTAATTTACAACAGTAAAAACATTCAGCGCCAGTTCGATAGTACATCGTAAATAGTGATAGTCGTCACGTTTATTTTGGAGCTATGAAGATGTGATGTGAATGCCATTATCGCTTGAAATTTTTATTTATTATGCCGAAATATGTCAGGATTCAACACTGTAGTTCATCCGGTTAGTTTTAATCTAAATCAGTGTTAACACTAAGGGCTTAATTAAACTGAACAGTAAAAATTCCGGTGTTTACCACGGATTTTCACAAAGCGAACTGCCCCCGAGTAAATTTACACCATAAAGTTAACCAAAAGAGGAAGCCACCCATGCTGGTTCCTATTGAAAGCGAAAACCGAAGACCCACCATGTTAAGTAGAGCACTTGACATAATCATGAATGGAAATCACAATACGAAGAGGGTGGTTTCAAGTGAGTTCTGCACGTGTGCATGACCCTTTCTAAAATTATGTATCCGGTTTAGTAGTTGTTATCCGTTTTTTGTTGGTTTCCTAATACGGAAATGGAAAATGGCATCATTTGAAGCTTTGGCGTCTAGACGTTTTATATAATTAGTCATAAGCTGTTAACATAAAAAATTAAAAAAAACGATGGATAAAAAAAAACTTGTACCAACAAGGATGATCGGTCTGTTGTGGTCTTCAGAAACCGATTTTTTTCCTAGTATTTCATTTGTTCATGCATGTCTAAAATATAGGTCAGGACAATTTAGTAAAAACAATAGGTAAACCAGTGGAACAAAGAAAAAAATTGAGTAATTAATTTTGACGTCAAAATCGAATCTCATATGAAAAGTAAATAAAATATAAAACAAGCGCTGCAAGGATGTCAAAAGAAAAAGTGATTGTTTTTTTACAAACTCCTTGTTGGGTATTTCGCCTCAAAAATGTTTATTTTAAAAGACAGAATTTCCTCACGTCTTTTATTACAAAAAAAGTGAGTGATTGAAAGTATAAGGAAAACAAACAAAGAAACATTTTTTTCTTTCGCATTCAACCCTTTGTCCATCTTGATTTCAGCATTAATGACTATTTTACAATTATGCATGTTCGTTGCTTATTTGTACTTGATGATTCCTTAGATTACTTGTCCTGACTGCCATAAACACTTTTTGCACACAAATTTGCTGCAACTTTTAGAACAACAAGCAAAGTTCGGGCACGACGGTTTAAACGCGGAAAAACATAAGCTTATCTTTTGTTCGATTTTCTTTTTCCATCAGTGTCGTGTCCGAAGGGCTCGGCATAACTTTAATATCCCACACAGTTTGATGCGTTTGTTGTGCCGAGCCCTTTAGGCACAACACTGATTGATGAGGAAAACTGAACAATTAATAAATTTACTTTTTTGCATTTAAACCATTGTCGCACCCGAAAGGCTCCGCACCACCAATCCATTGAGACGGATCATGAAGACTTCCTTTTCCACCACGGCCTAAAAGCTCGAAAAATTCTCCAGTTATTTCAACGATGGTTTTTGAATTCAATGAATATGTTGCGACCTCAGAAGCTCCTCAACAAGGACCCGGACCCAACCGAAATAACTGTTCCGTTCCGGTTTCGGCCCAAAGCAAAATTTAAAATTTCGGTTCCGTTACGGTTCGGGTTTAGAAAATAATTTCCAATTCGGTTCCGTTCCGGTCCCGGTTATTTTTTCGGTTCCAAAATCTTTAAATAACAACGAACGAGGCCAAACTTACTCTAATTAGGAATCTCACTATCTTTTTCCTTGCTTGTTGTATTATACAAGATAAAAAATGCGCAAACGATCCACTGCTTCATACGGTACTTCGGCTGGTTGTACGGAAGGGGGTAGGAGTGTAGGAGGACTAGCAACCCCACACAACGATTGAAATTCAGGTAACATTAAATGGAACAACATTGCAATAAAGACTCCCATACAAAAATTAATTTAATTGTTGTATTTTTGAAAAGTGATTTGTCAATGAATTTTCTGACTTTAGCGTTTTTCTCTTCTTCCGTTTTCACTCAGGTCCACAACTTCGTCAATTCCTCTTCTTTCACTATTATTTCCGTTTAAACATTGTTCTTCCTGGTTCATGTCTTCACCATCTTTTAAGGAGTTGCTTTTGTCCATCATTTCAATGTCAAATGTTTCTTTGTTGGTTGTATGCACGTACGGTGTTAGTTCTTTTCGATTGAAAAGTCGGTTGGTCCTCACACATAATTGTTCCTCTAAAATTCAAACGTTACAAGCAGAACCGAAAAAACTGAAATAAAATATTTCGGTTCCGGTTCAGCACCCAACAGTGTGTTAATATCAAATATGGGTTCCGTTACGGTTTTGGGTCCAAATCGGTTCCGGTCCGGGTCCCTGCTCCTCAATATGTAAAATAGAAAGTAATTGAGCTGATAATGAGGAAAAAATCGCATCCTTGAGATTTTTGGGCTTTCATGAGCCGTCATGAAATTAAATTCCCCGTTGTAATTTTGAAAACTCAAAAGTCACCACTTTATTTAGTTTTAATAACAAGTTTATTTCGTCTGATTTCTTCATAACGTTTTGCAACCATGAGTGACTTGCACCTTCACCTCGCTGTTTCGCTCACAATTTTGCAATTGACCGAATGCATTTCAAATAAATGCACAAAAAAACAGCATAAAAGATAAAAACTTGTAGTTCAATAAAACACAAATAAAGGAACAGCAAAGAACCAAAACGTCAAAATAAACATAAACACTGACAAATCGGGATATTTTTGCGAAAAATCAAATTCTCCAGCCTAAAGTAACATAAATCAATCGTACTGAAAACACATTTTTCTACGCATTCTGTTCTTGAACTTGAATTTCCTCAACATATTAACATTTTCCGACTTTCTTCAACGTATTAATGACAAATAAAAATCCAATTAAAAAACCGATGAAAATGTAACAAATTATCTGGAAAAATGCCGAGTGGGTCACAAACTTCAATATTTCTCTTGCTTTTCTGTCTCTTAAGACAGCTTTATAAGTTCCCGAGTTTAAAGATCAACAGAAAAGAAACTTTCTTCTTAAAAATATTATTTGCAATGTTCACAAGTAACTCAACTGCCAGCAAAAGTGATGTTTTTTCCTTTTGATCTTTAAATGTTGTTGAACTATTCACTAGTAAATACCTAAATCAGTTATCTTTGGACTAAATCTAAATACCTGCATCTGAATGGCCCCTCCCATCTTATGCTAAGGTACTTATAGGCGGAATAGTAGGTGGGTGTTAAAGTTAAAACACGCCAAACTTAGATTATTGCATTATTTAACATTCAAACTTCGGATTAGATTCGATTTTTTACGCCTTATTTAATATCGTTCCCCATAAAGGACTTTTAGCGTGTATCTCTTTACAAATTGTTATTAAGGGGCTGTTTCACATGTTTTTTTTTCTAAACTAGGTTGTATTTTGCTACCAAAGGTAACGAAACATTTTCAATTCGATTTCCTTGTAAATTATTTTGTAGTAAGACTTTGGCCTAAATCTAATTAAGGGCATCGACCACAAATCCCACGAATCGTTCGCTGGAATAATGAGTTTTTACTATAAACAGGCGCCCGCTCATTTTCTTTGCCATAAAAGGTGTGGGTTTTACAATCAGCATCAACCATCGAGCACCATTTCCTACGTCACCGTAAACCACCCACTCAAATACGTGCGTTTTTTACGATAAAATAATCAATGAATTATTCGTAGATATTGGGTCGTTGCAGAAATTCTCTCCATGGACGAATATGGTTGGGTTGGGTTCGGTACTTGGCCAGTTTTTCCTGCCAGCTTGTCCATCAATCCGGTATTTTGATCGATCTTATGAGACGAAACACTTGTCACCAATTTACCGTTTTATTCAATTTAGGCTTCGATTTTTTCGATCGAGTGGAGAGAATTGTATCGATCGAATTTTTTCAAGTCATCTCTAAGTAGGTCTAGTAACCACATCAACCCAATGGGTATAATAAAAAACTATTATAAATTAAAACTAACAAGACATTTGCCATAAAAAATTGAAGAAGTGGAATTTTTTGTACCATCAAATGCAAGTTTCGCCCGCTTTTGAAAAGTGGTAATTTGAAACTGATGAGTTTTTCGGGCTTTTAGAACGTGTGTTCGCTTCGGGCAACACACCTCTGAAGATGCAAGCCTCATGCTTGCGAAACGTTAAGAAGAAATAATTTTCCTCAAAGGCCTGAAAAACGCACCTAATTTTAAATAATAGGCGCAAAGATATAAACACGTATTTTACAAAGCCATAATTTCGATTTAAACTAGTTGATTATCCTATAAGAGACTCGATTCTGTGATTTTTCGCCTAAATTGTTCTCAGTTTTTTTTTGCAAAATTTCTGGTCCGGACTGTTTTTGGCGAAATTGAGAAAAGTTAGTCATTTAGTGCACCTAGTTGTTGAACAGCAAATTTTGATCATCACGAAGTTCTTTTTAATATTTCCGGCCGAAATGTAGTGAAAGGCTTTCTGCCTTTGATTATAAACATGTTAATCCCTTCTCTATGTTCCTGAATTTTTTAACAATTCGATAAAAATATCTTATTTTTCAGCTCAGATTTCGACTCGATCATGATTCTTCGCCTAAATGGTTCTCAGCGAAACCCACTTTAATTTGGGTACTTTGATGCGCTTCTGAATTATTGCACGATTTTCAATTTCAATTAATTCTCACTCACTACGTTCCTGAATATCTAGGAAATTTTTTAGCTTTCATGCGGATAGTTGAAAACGTGTTACTACCTTCGATATGTCCTAGAATTCTTGAAAATTTCAATCAAAAACTCTTAATTTTTGGCACTTGCGAATTTGAGGAATATTGATAGTCACTGGCAGTTGCGAAATTTGCAATTTTGTCACTGACTACGTTCGTA